AAATGAGGTGTAGAAGCTTGTTCCGAGGCCAAATGACCATTTAGTTATTGGTACTAAATGAGTCTTTAGAAACAAGTAAGATGAATTTGATATCGTAGTTAGAAACAATGCTAGATTAGTGGCCAAGGATTTCAACTAAGAAGAATGTATCAATTAGGAAAAAACATTCGCTCCTATGGCATAATTAGAAGTCATAAGGATGCTTCTTGCTTATGCTAGTAGTAATAATTTTAAATTATTTTGAATGGATGTTAAAAAGTACTTTTCTTAATGGCTTTATTTTCGAAGAAGTATATGTTGAAAAACCTCCTGAATTTGAGAATGATAATTTTCCTAATCATGTGTTTAAATTGACTAAAGCTCTTTATAGATTGAAACAAGCCCTAAAGGCTTAGTATGAGAGACTTAGCTCATTTCTTATCCAAAATAATTTCTCTAAAGGCAAGGTCGACACGCCCATCACCTCGAACCGCGTACGACCCACCCTCATGCTATAGTATAAGAGCCTTTCAAAGAGGGAGGGAAAGGGAGATTGAACTAACTTGTTCGTCGGAGGGGCCACAACCAGGGATCACCCGGCGAAGGCCTTTTTCTGCAAGAAAGCGGCCACCCACGAGTCACCGGGCGCCCCAACCTCGGAAGCCGCCGACCGATGACCTCGCAGGTGAGCCATCAACTATTCAGCCTCTAGGCTGAGAAGCGCTGACCAAGAACCCGACATCGAGGGCTAGTCGACGTGTCGGTGACCAGTTCAGCCGACGGAACACTCTCGACATCGACCCGTGGATCAGGCCGTGCTGACTAATGAGCCACGGCACACCTGTTCACAAACAACCATGATAGAAGATAGAAATTATAGAAGAAGTTATATTTCTCAGATATGTTCTTCTTATTTATACGAAAAGAGGATTTTCCATAACAGAATAGCGAGATTTCCTCGTGCAGTTGGAAAAATCTTATCTGCTATCACTTCAACTTCAAAGTTTATATTTTAAACTAGATCAAATCGAAAATTTTATAAATTTCGTGTGCTTCAGCATGTATCATTTATTGTCCATATCTTTAGAGAAAACTATTTACTGATTTTTCAGGAATTATTGAAACTCACATAAATGGGTGCTCAGTGTGAGATTATATTAATTCAATAGAGAACAGTTTAGCTCAAGAGTCATCGTGGAGTGATTGATCTCGAGTTGCAGTGGGGATAAATGATGATACAAGACAAATCAACCAATGGGCTTTTTGGGTTATAAAGACATTATGTGCCTACGAATTGCACCGTTTGTCAGATTTCATCGAGTGTTTACGTGTAGGAGGAACCAATCCCGGCCAGAAATTGTTAAGCTCTGAGGTGAAAATTTGGCATTGCATCCTCGGGTAACCATTTCTATATATCCTTCTTTTTTTTTTCATCTCTTACACATTAATCACGTGAATGAATGAATTGTTATTATTATTTTGTGCGTCTTCTCTCTCTCTCTCTCTAAGATGTTTACATCATGAGCCACTGTTTTAATATTCAAAGTTACATAAGATATTTTTTGTTTCTAGGCATTTAGTAAATGTAATTTTTCACAAAATTGATCGTGTTTAGTGTTGTTCACTTCTCCCTAATGGAAACCTTTGGTTTGAACAGTAATTATCCAGTTGAGTGCTGTTAGGTTTGTCCTGGAATAACTCGTTCAATAACTGAAAGCTACGATATCAAAGTACTGTATGCTGAAGTAGGTGTTGATGTTGATAGGATCAACGAAAAGATTTAATCATGATACACACAAAAACTAGCAATCATAATTAGTCAGATGGGCTCATCTAATACTGCTGGATTAGTTGACATCATTGACATATGTATTCATGATTTGGATCAATGGAATAAGATCCTTGACCTATTTTGTACATTGTCGTTGTACATGTAAAGCTTGTCTCAGATTGAACTACCCACAAAACTTGAAGAATAAAATCCTCAAAATCTTGAAGAAGGAAAGTTCAGAGAAGATGGGAAATTGATGAATGTGTATTTCGCTCAAAAAAGTTGAAACTGAAGCTTTGTAGACCAGCTTTTGTTAGGCAGTGAGATCCATGATAGCTTCAATAATATCCCCATTGTAAGCCTTGAGGGCTACGACAGCCTTCGCCCGGGACACACCAGCTTGTGCCATTACAATATCAATGTCACGAGGGTCCACTCCAGTATCATCAACATCCTCATCAACCACCGTTTCAGAATAAGATTCATGTGACTTGAGCGTCACACGGCTGAGATCTGGCATCCCGAACTGCTGAGCAGTTTGGCTTTGCACCTGGGAGTTCAAGTCCACGATTTTGGCTTCTCCAAATACGACGTAAGTCTCAGAGTTTTGGCTTTTGTAAACGTCAGGTGTCGATATGACAAACAGGATCTGCAGCGTGCAGCGAAAACATCAAGAATTAATCATTTGGAAGGAAAAACAAAAGAATGCTCAAGTTTCCTTGGAAGAAAGATCCAATGATTATTAACATGTTTATTAAACAAGTGACAATTATATACAAATAGGAGGTGCAAAGTTTTGCTTTAAATCTAGGATCAAATTTGCACATGAGGATTTAATTTTAGTTGACAAACAATCTTAAGAATCTTTATATCGAGGCCATTACCAGGTGACACTTAGCAAGGTTGCCAGTTACGTCATCGAGGTGACACTAAAAGCACATGCTAGTGGATTTCCTAGGGTTCATTTCGTCTAACTAGAATTCAACTGAGTTAGGCCCGCATACATTATTTGTTCTCTTTATGGTAACCCGGGAGACTCCGATGACTGGTTGCATTCCCAACTTCAGCATCGCCTTGTGGCTTTTCTTCTCACTCTTGCTCTGCTTAGACTTCTTAGTAACCTCAGATCCTCCTCGTTCTCCTGTAAAAAGGAAGGATGAAATTTGCAAAACAGTCACCACAAGTGAAGAAAAGAAGGCCACGACCATATAGGTTGCATCTAACCATGACTTTGTCACACTTGAGGAACATGATACCAAGAGCGAATTTAAATGATAAAATCTAATAAAACAAAACCAAAAAGGTAATACCAATTTTGGCAACCAGTCTGACCACTATGATACCGGTATACAAGATGGTAAAACCAACTCATACCACTAGTATCACCAAAAAATAATAATAATAAACAATTAAATACAGATCGACACCGACCACCTTTGTGGTTAGGTATTCTCCTTGGTTTGATTGCTAATTAATATCATTTGATAGGTACCAGATCGATCAGTTTCTGATTTCTTGGTCAAATTCTTAATAGGGTTTCTGATTTCTTGGCCAAATATTTGATAGAAAAATCAAATCCATTCCATCTTGTGATGCAACAAAGACTTATTTGTCATGGTAATACCAATTGGTGTCTAGTTGGATTGATACAACACCTGATCCGTACCGATAGTATTACCAGAAGAGAACAATAGACAATACCGATCCTACAGGCCTATATGGTCGCCGATAGGATTTTGATTCTTTGATCAAAAGCTCAATAGGAAATCAAACTTATTACATCTGGTGATGTAATAAAAGACACACCAAGAGCATTAGTGTAAAGGCGATTAATCTTGACAACGGATCAGAGAAAAAAGAAAGAAAGGTTATTACGGTACTAATTTGCAAAATTAGGCATCGTTTCAAATGAATGTCTAAACTATATTCCCCAATTATCTATGTTCCATCTGTTTCCTTATGATCCAAGAAGTCAGTCACTTTGGTCAGCACCAACACAAGTGAACTGTGCGTTGTCCTGGATTGCTAATGTTTTCATGTGCTCCACGAGAATGCTCATGTGCGCTCTCATCAGCATCGTGCTCAAGAGGCGGAAACCCTAAACCAATCAGTAAGGAAAACCAAGCCAAGCTAAAGTGACAAGGGGATCGCCACCTTCGTCGTCGTCCTCGTCGTCAGAGTCCTCGCCCTCCTTGACATCCTCGACGACGGGAGCGTCGTCCTGAAACAGAACCAACCCACGATTCCCGAATCAAATATGATTGTTCGCTCGCTCAAGCTAACAAGAAAGCGAGTTAAGGTACGAGGATCAAAGAACGAACACCAGAAGCACAAATCTTCGGCCCCCCAAAGGATCGAACCTCGGTTCAGAACAAATCCAAGTAAAGAGAAAAAGGAAGGGGGGGATGGACGACCTTGTTTAGCTGCTGATCCTCTTTAAGCGAGGCGAGATCTTGGCCGTCTCTGTGCTCGTCGTCGTCCACCGTCTTGGGGCCTCGCATGATGGTGACGAGGCGGAGGAGGAGCGTCGTTGCCACCACGGCGATAACTGCTCCCCAAGTAGACGAGCGGAACTTATAGGCCGTCGTACGTCAAGTCACGTGCACTGCACGACCTGCTGCGAGTAGGTTAACTAAACGCAACTCAACGGAATCCCAACTAATTCAGGAGGAGCTCATCGTAAGGGCAGTCCATTCAAGTCACGTGCACTGCACGAGACGACCCAATCCAAACCAACTCGGGTGAAGCTCATCGGAAGGGCAATCCATTCGAGTCACGTGGACTGCACGAGCTACGAGTAGGTTAACCCAACCCAATCGTCCTTTAATCGGATTTGAGACTGATCTAAGCTTGGATTTAGATTTTGTTTACTTGAAATTCTATGTATATGAGAGTATATCAAAGAAAAAAAATTCTTCGAATGCTCGGATTTATTTGATCCACTCGCGTTATGGTTTATTTCCCTTTTAATTTGATAAGAAAAGTAATGGTCTTTTAAACTCCTTTCGACTTTTCTCTTAAAAGCTCATATTTATCAGCAGAAACTAAAAAAAAAAGAATGTTGTTGGTAGCCATTTTTCGAGTTGATTTCAAGTTGGGATCTTCATATCTTCAACCTATGAGGATGAATCAAATCCACATTATTCGACTTAACTGATTTATGTAAATGCTTGAGGTAATATTCTCCTGTCCACGAATCTAAACACTCACCAACTTGCCATATTCTCTCTCCAATGGGATGAATGAGTTCTGCATTTTGTAATGGTGAATTAGTGTAGAATTTTCCTTCTCGAACAACATCATCTACGTCTTGTTTCTCTCCATGCTCAGAACTCATACCATACATCATGCAGTCACAGGAATTTGTCCTCTCTCTCTCTCTCTCTCTCTCTCTCTCTCTCTCTCTCCATTTCTGAGCATGGAAGCCAACAAGAACCACAAATGCTTCAGGTTGCTCCTTCACACTCTTTGTACTTGCACCTGGTTCTCTCCATTCCCTTCTGCAGGCTTCTCTGCTTGGCTATGGGATTCGTTGTTCTTGCCCCACAGGAGCGAGTAGAGGCCAGCAACCACCAGCACTGACCCCAAAACACTGCCCACGTCGAAGGAAAGCATAAACACCTGCGATGGCAAAAGGAAGACGAAGACAAGCGCGTGGGCTGCAGACAGTACTGCAGAGATTACCTTCCCAGGTAGATCGGTTCGTGGAGGACGGAGAAGTCGATGCCGGCCACAATGACCTGCACCAGCGGCGTGAATGCTGCGGTGAACACCGGTCCTCTTTGCGCCACACACCATGACATGGCCAAGAAGCCCAACCCCGATCCCACACCACCCTAAAGCGGCACGCAACACCGGTGAGAGAGAGGCTACAGACACACTGAAACCGAGCGTCGGTGTCGTTTGCTTACGGAGAAGAGCACGGTGGCGATCTCCAGCTTCTTACGCAGGAGCCACATGGAGAGGCCCCTCTGCGTGGCCAAGCTCAGGGCCGCCGCCTGGAGGAAAGCGAGGAAGAAGATGAGAGCGGTGCAGGAGTACAGGGCGGGGTACTTCTTGCTCACTCTGGATTGGAGGGGGAACCACGCCGACCAGCAACAACAGCCAGCGAGCAGCGCCACCGACCCCATCACCCGCTTCCTCGAGGTGTAGCTCATGCCATCAGCCGGCGATCGATGCGATACGTGGTCGTTGAAGCCGACGCCCCTGTAAAAGGTGAGCACAACCACGCCAACGAGGCACAGCGACGTCCCCATCGCCTTTGCGATCCCCGCCTTGGTCTTCAGGTTCAGAGACTCGATCCTGCACCAGCCATAGATCAAGATGACAGCCCGAGCTCGAGAGACCACAGTTGGGGAGATGTACCTCATGGCTAAGGATATGAGGAAGGTGAATACGGGCGCTATGTTGAGGAAAGCGCAAGCAAACGTCGCCGAGGTGTACTGCATTCCAAGGTAGAAGAGGTACTGCGTCAGAGCCGCCCTGCACACACAACTCCGAGTCATATCTACTACGCCGTGATGGAAGCTTCACCGGTTTGGATTACCCGAGCATGGCGCTGAAGAAGAGATACACGCAGATCTCCGTCGTCAGCTTCGGCCTCGTTGTCCTGTGATCAGCAGCAACCGATTCCATGTGTCAAGCAGAAACGTCCGACTCAGTGACAGTGTGTGTTCTCTGTACCTCTCGTGGAAGTAGGCGACGGGAGCCATGAACAGAGTCGCGACCAGCTGCCGGAGGGTGATGAACACCAGCCTGTTCAACCCCTCGTCGATCGCCTTCTTGATCATGGTGTTCGTCACCGCGAACACGACGTCCACGGCCAGCATCGTCGCCACCGGCCTCCACTCCTTGCAAGCCCCCATTGCTGTGAGGATCTCGCCATCACAACGATGGCTATTTATGCCGCATGAAACAGCACCCCAGATATTTTGGGCACGTTTGATGTATGCTTGTTTCTTGTTCTCGATCGACAAGAAGCAAGAAAGGAGTAGATGGGGTACGTAGAAATCGAAAGATGCTGTTGCCACGGAGAGGAGGATGACGAGTCTACGGCTACGGCTCGGCATCCCTGGAGGGCGGTCTCTTCGAGCATCGATACTCCGCCCATGATGGGGAAGTGCTGCTGTGCTCAATTAGCCCACAGAGTGGAATTGTATCGAACAAAAGCTGTGCCTCTTCTTCCTTGGGCTCGTATCTCACATTTTGTTGGGATGGGGACTTGCATGAAGATGATGACACTGATAGGATCAGGCTTTCAGCATATGTTGTCGGCCAGAATTAGACACCATGCATTAATGCCTTTCACCACAAAACAACAGTGACAGATTTTTTATTAGTATATAAAAGCAATGGTTTGCTAATCCAAAGATTTTTGTTTTTTGATAAGCTTCTTTCCTTTAATCACTGTTTTATAGCATGGTGTGGAAAAGTTCCAAATGATCATGCTAATCACATGATTTACTGGAATGGTGACAGCTCAGTCGAGAGGATATCATGATCGTAAATATGTGCAACATCAGATAATGAAATTTAAATGTAACAATAATAATAATAATAATAATAATAATAATAATAATAATAATAATAATAATAATAACAATAACAATAAATCGAACAAGTTTTTTTTTATCTCGTTTGACATTCAACATGGACAATCATAGTCAATAGATATTATTATTATTATTATTATTATTATTATTATTATTATTATTATTATTATTATTATTATTATTATTATTATTATTATTATATGGGAGTGATAAAATCCAAGTATTACATGGATGAACGATAAAAATGTTGGTTGATGTTTCGGAGGAATCAAAACAACACAACTTGCTCCTGACAAAAGAAATAAGCATTATATCCTAATGACGAGCATCACAGAAGCTTGGGGGGTGTTAGAATGCTGGTCAAGAAATAGCAAGGAGTTGTACCATTCCTCTGCATTGGGAATTGGCATCGCTCGGAGTATTGGATGCTCGAGTGTTTCGTGAGGGTATTACATCAAATACTAAAATGATAGCCCAACAGAGTAGTGTGAGGAAAGCTAGAGAGAATCATCTCAGGCACAGATTACAATATATATATATATATATATATATATATATATATATATATATATATATATATATATATATATATATACTATATTCTGTGAAGCTAAAGCATGATGGAAACTCGATCAACGAAGAATTTCGTAGATTTGGATTAAAGAAAGATAAATGCTTCTTGTCCGCATTTTACAGCTCAAAGCTAAAGAGAGAATTCTGCCAACTTGACCTAAATGCTGTTAAGAGTAATTAGAGCATCATCTTCTTGTACTATCCTACGATCCTTATGGCCTCAGGTTTAGGATATTTCTCAGAATTTTAGCAAACTGCAATTTGGTCTATTCGTCAGAATATATGGTGGGACTGAATCTGTACCAAAAGAGGGTCGTAATTTGTGAAGGATCAGAATGAATTCGGCATTGTTGCACAGCCCACCCATTCAGCTTGTATGTTGACGTGCAATGCAAGGGACTACAGCGTGTGGGCTACATGGGAGCTTCTTCAGCTACCCTCTGAGAAACCAGTGTATGAGTGCAAGCTTATCAACATACATAGTCTAGAGAACATCTCTAATAAGGATGTTCTGATAATGCCTATAAGGATTTTGCTTTTACTGATTTCAAAATATTGAGATGTAGTTCAAACTTCAAACTGGTTTTCTACATTGTGAAAACAATATTCAAGGTAGCACTTGTGTCTTGTCAGTAGTACATGCTGATTTAGTACTCCTACCACAGTAATCCTGATTGTGAAATAATTTGAGAGGAGGAATAAAACAGGGAAATGATGCAGGAAAAGTAGACACAAACAAAGATTTTTTTTTTTAAGAAAAAAAACATACCAGGGCAGAAAAGATATTCCAGTATATAGTGGTAGGCAAAGGAGTGCATCATCACCTTCCACCATGATCAGTCTGCTTGGCTTTCTCTTTGTTCACCTGCAAAACACAAATATAACATTGTTCGACTTGGCAATTCACTTTTGCAAGTTTGAAAACTGAAGCACTAGCAGTAGAACCAATTCATGTTAAGAAGAGAAACTTGGGAAGTAGGCATCTTGATTTGCATTTGCTACGACCACACACCAATGGTTGAGATGAATCATCAGTTGCTCCGGGTCGATGTGCTGAAAAACTTATTGACCATAATCCTTATCAACCCAGCTCTCTAAATGAGTAGAGCTGAGCTGCTGATTTGTATAACTTTCTTACAGATATTGTCTTATATAAACTGAGAAGCAGTTGTAAAAAATAAAGAGAAGATTTTGATCGAAATCATAAATTCCCAAATCCAGGAGCTTTGGCTAAATCATAATTTGGACCATGTCTGCCAAAGAGCTATCACTGTCCAACATACCGCTCGTAAGTTGAAGAAACAAATGCAGATCTCGTCCAGATCCTCCAGTTGTGCAACCAATGCACAAGAACATGCTTGCCACTGTAGATAAAAAAAAAAGAATAAATAATGTTTATACCTGAGGGGAAAACAAAGGTGCCAGAGAAGTCAAAACATTCGGAGGTAGAGAAAAGAGTACCAATAATGGCAGCATCAGAGCATTACATCAGACAACCAACATAGTGAGCCCTAGGGAACTTCTTTTGCAACTGGGGCCATTGCACATAGAACTGGTCAGCAAGAAGTAGCTTATAAAGCAACAAGCCACTTAAAGATAGCTTCCTCACTCGTGCGATGCTCTCCACATAAAAGATGTGTGACCAACCTAGGCCAAGTAACTGCAGCAGATCATATTAAGTTTCATCCAGTGATAAATTAAATATTTGCAAGCATGAGATAAGCTTATAGTTTCCATGAGCTCTGACCTAAAGAAAAGAAAGATCTCATCCAAAGAATAATTTTCAAATAAGGATCAACATGAGATAAATGCAACGCAAACCAAAATGGCCTTACGACACAAAGCTTTTAAGACAGAGATTGTCATAAAATTATATTCCAGAGGAAAAATAGTCAGCACCCAATTTTTAAAAGGTGGCTTGCGTAATACGAACCTTGAAAAGGAATGCAGAAGCACACAGAGGTATGCAGGTCCCAGGACCATTACAAATAATCTGGATAAGCATGATAAACAACATGAAAATTTTATGTAACTGTAAATACAATCGCAATAGTTTAGAGAACAAGAGAGGGTTAAATAATAACAATACCACTTGGGGCCTGATTTTTAAAGTTAGCCACAGTGCATGAGCCATTGCAATCAAAGTTGTTCCGACAGAGGTTATGTATGACTGTCCCACTTCACGGCTTCGATAAATCTGCACGAACTGAGCAGCTTCTATCATCTTTCTTCCACTGTTCTGCAACACCAATTAACAAGTTCATTCGTTTTTTGGATTATCATCACCCATGAGAAATCGTATCAGACATCGACAGTAATAATTATGGATATCTTTGCCTAGGAAAACACTACACAGACGGTGACTGTTTTCAAGTCCATGGGTGTAGAAAATGGGATCATTGATTGATTTAAGCCTGAGCCAACATTGACCGAAAGATGGATATTTAGTGATCTATTTTTTAAGTCCATGTACAGCGCAAATTCTACAAAAGGATAGAACAAATTCCACAGTTGTTGGAATCATAATACTACAAGCAAACAAGTTTGGAAGATTCTCTATGAAGACTGCTTAAGAGATTTAAGTGGAAAACATGTTCTATCTCCATTGAACTGTTGCAGGCTATGAACTATAAGGACGAATCACCAATCAACTTGCAGGCTATGAACTATAAGGAACTAGTTGCAGCAAATTTAAGCATAATAATCTTTTACAGATAAAAACAGAAGATGGATAAGAAAAACAACATTGTAGTAGAAATATCAAAAACCATGAACAGGAATTAAGAAATACTTCAAGCTTCAAGTCATACATAATTGACATAAGCACAAGGTAAATAATGAATTTTAGACCAGAAGGATTCTGTAGTGTAGCAACTGTAGATTAAGCAGCAGTCTACTCATATGTGTGTCAAAAAACACTTCAAAAATATGTAAGTCATCAAGACAAGGTATAGAAAGCTTCCATTTGGGGCAAAATGTTAATGTACTGTGGCAACTGAAATTCGAAACTTTTCAAGTTAGTAATAGTATGTGATACAGTATGTACCTCCCCCTGCTGCATCAAGGACTCCTCCAAAACCCGAGCTTTTTTAAGGCTCATATTATCAGTTGCAGCTGCAACGTAGAATCTTGGAGTGTATATATCATTCTGGAGCACATTCATGATGCTAAGCATTTCTGCTGTATGGCCCCCTGGATAAAGGAAGTTCCAAATTGACTAATCTCTCAGGCAAATATAGAATGGAAAGAATAATATATGTTCATATGAAGCACGAGATCTCAGAAGACATTGCAAATTACACCTGAACACCTAATTACAAGATTAACCATATTAATCAATACAAAATGGTGCACCACTAATTTCATGAGCACCAAAGAGTAAAATGCAATGTGGTATTTATTATATATGATTTTTTATATTAAAAAAAACAGCAAATTTAAGCAAGCAAAATGAATTTTTAAACAAATTTCTTAGTCTAAATCCCTGCCTCAGAGTTTTATATTTTCCTATTCAACAACATACCACCACGCTCCACGCAAATGCAAAATAGTAGAAATCCATTCTAACTACAAAAATCCATAGCGAAGGCTCTTAAACCATCAAATCATACGATAGACAGACAAACGAGTTTTTGGTATGTTTCGAAACACCTGAGCCGAGAACGATGAGCGTCCTCAGACTATGCGTTTTTGAAGATCCAATTGGCTTTCCGGTCCAGTATAATACGTACAGCACGCGGATCACGAAGATGGCAACCAGAACCGGGAGCACGAAGCACCAAATTTTATCGCTGTCTTTCTCCATCTCTTCCAAATTCGCTCTTTCTCCTTCTATCCTCACTGCGCAAAAAGAAGTTTTTAGTCATACAAAGAGACTATTACTTAGAAGAGTACCGGTGATAGCGCCACCTCCTTCAGAGAATTCAAGAGGTAGTCCGGATTCCGCTGCAGGATTCGCAAGGAGAGAGGTGCTCCGGAAACCCTAATTTCCCTAATCCCCGATTGTTCCCCGAACCACAGAAACGGGCTTTCGAGTTCCACGATGGCGTACGTTTAAGCAGCAGGCGTACGAGCGCATGTTAGACGTTGTCTGTTACCGTTCAAGTTACGACTCCACCTCCGTTTGTCACAAATGTGAGAGAGCTCAGCGCGTCATGTGTTGCGTCGTAGATTAAGCGGTAATATGAGGCAGGGTTTTTCTTTTTTATTTTTTATTCTAGATTCTAAAGCTATGTTTCATTAAAAAAAGAGCGATTTCCTTCCTTTAAGCACCCTTTTTTTTTTTTTGATAACGCCCCTTCTTTTCTCTAATCTCGAAAATAATTTTCTCTTCTCACTGCATAATTATTTTCAACCCGCTGCCCTGGCGACGTCGTCATCCGCCACAAGGGGATATTAGGATAAATAAAATATTAAAATTATTAAGAAAATTATAATTAAAATATCAAAATTATTTTTAAATTATTTTCAAAAAATATTATGTGAAATTGATGATATTAGAATAAATAAAATTAAATATTTTATAATAAGGATTCAATATAAATATAGATCTATTAAGTAGATTATAATTAATTAAAAATATCTAACTACAAGGGGTTAATTTATAATTAGCCCGGCACCTCCACCCAGTCGACTTCGCCCAATCGGCGCCGCCTGTCCGTCGCGCGTGAGACCTGCCCTTCCCCATCGCGCTCCTCACATCCGCCCGAGCGAGAGGCGACCACTGCCCCTTTTGCTGTGACTGACAGCAAGGCAACCCGCTGCCTACACCTCCGGCGCCCCCTCCCTTGCTGTCAACGAAGGAGGCACGAGGAGCAGCAGGCGGCGGAGGCGTAGGCAATATGCGAAGGCAGTGGAGGAGGCGTACGGATAAAGGGGTGGTGGAGGCGGAGGCATAGGCAGCGAAGGAAGGGGGGGACCCACCTGCGGGGCAGCGGCGGATAGGGCGTGGCCTCCAGAGGAGCCACGACCGTCACCGTTCAGTGCACTACCACTGTCGCTCTCCCGTCCCGGAGGAGCCTCACTGTCGTCGTCGATAGCCCCTTCGACGCCCCGGCCAATGGCGGCGTCTTCGACCGGGACTGGTGCTACCCCTCCTGCCTCGGGCCTCCGCCATCTATGCATACGCCTTCACCCGATGCCTCGCCTCCGTCCCTACCTCTGCCTCCGCCGCTGAGGGCAAGGCAGCCTGCTGCCTCCGCCTCCGTCCCTACGGGGAAGGGCACACGCGGAGGTGAGGGGCACGACGAGGAAGGGCGGACCTCGCGCGCGATGGGCGGGGGAGCAGGGGCAGAGGCGACGAGCAGGCACGACAGTTGGGCGAAGGCGACGGGCGCCGTCGGCGAGGTGGAGGCGACGACGGGAAGGAAGGGGAGTTTTGGAATTATGAAAAATAGGGGAGCTATTTTGGAAAAAAATGGAAACATGGGCATCATGGGGAAAAAAAAGAAAAAGAGAGGTTTTTTAAAATAAAATTACCCTATACAATGGTCAAAAAATACGTTATTATTTTGGATTATATATATATATTTTTTATTTTATTTATTTTATTTTTATGTATATTTATTTATATTTATATTTATATAAAATATTAAAAAAAATCAATATATATAAATATAAAAATATATATATATATATATTTAAGGAAAAAAGATGTATGAAGCCTAGGCGACATCGCCTTCTCCTCTTCTCCTTGTAGAAAGCGACGAAGATGTCGAAGGCCGTAGACGTCTCTAGCCTTCGGCGAAGAAAAAGGTCGTTGAGTCGCAAATAAGATAATGAAGGAGATTGTCTCTTTTGTGGCTCTAGTCGTCACCTCTCCTAATCTCTACGCCTCCATATCCTCTTCTTTATGATTCTCCTCGTTGTTACATCTTGGATTAAGATTGGTGAGAGAGGATGGTGACGGATCAAAATCAAGAAATGGCATGGAAATAAGTTCGCACCAAGGTTCTCCTGATTCTCTTTCTTCTTCAAATGCCCTCTTCTTCTTCTTCCTTCTTTGTTATTTCTCTCTTAGCTTCATCGTAGTCAAGTAACGTTGAAAATTTTAACTGTTATCACTCGAAATAGCCTTATATCATCTAATAAAGTGGATAGTCCGTTAATAGATAATCCGTGTACCAATTCACGAGTGGTATATATATATATACAGTGATTATGTTGAAAAATAAGCATGTGTAATCCCATGCAAGTATAGATATAGACGATGCTTTATGGATATTTTGTGTATAATAATTTTGTACATGTTAAGTTATATTGGATGGAACTAGATGAATATTTTAAATTATATTTGGGTTTTAGTTAAATATTTCAAATTATGTATGTGTTAAAAATATTATATATATGAGAAATTTTATCATTTTATTTAGTAATTAATAAATTTTAAAATTTATGATTATTTATTTTCTGTTGTATCTATTTGGATAACAGTAATCAACGATTGAAAATTGATCTTCTATTTTAATTTGATGTGTCGGGTACTGAGGAAATTAGGAGTTAGCTGTTACTGCGATAGTCGAATCTAGATTTTACGGTGCGTTTTTCTCGCGGCTATCATGAGAGGCCACACAACCCGCGACATTTATCAGGGTTAACTCAGTCGAGCGGGGTGCCAGGTGGAGGGTAGACAGCACATGAAAAAAGGCACGCTAACGATTACGTCACCTCGAACTCAAGCCACGAGCCGCCCCAAAGACCAAATTTAGCGCGATTACACTCCATCGGCGGCGGCAAGTGAGAACGAGAACGCGAGCGGGGCAAAAGGTCGAACGAGTGCCGGGCGTCGCGGCCACGACACGACAGTATTTGAAGCCTCCACCGCTCCCAACCTCAGATGCTCGCCTTCCCTTCCGGATCATAATATGCTCCTTCGCCGCCTCCGCCTCCTTCTCCTAAAGCCTTCCTCCTCGTATCCTCTCCGGTCCTCGCTTCGATCCGTTCCTCTTCTCCCATTCTCCACCGTCTCCGCCTCTTCCACCCAATCCTCTCTCCCCTTTCTGCCCTTGTTCGATCCGGTGAACCCCGGAAGGGCTGATGCGAGCACCAGCTTGTCGGAGATCGCCGCTGCTGTCGGCGAGTGGTTCCGCCTGGGCCCCGACCCGCTCTCACCCTTCGACCAGATCTACACCGCCCTTGCCTCCTCCCCCGACGACGCCTCCCTCGACGCCGCTCTCACCGCGCTTCGCCTCCCCCTCTCCGAGTCCCTTGTCGTCGGCGTCCTGCGCCACCGTCCCCACCCCTCAGCCACCTCCGCCTCTGGTACGTCTCTCCTCCTCCTCCGCCTCCGCTTCTTCGACTGGTGCGGCCGTCAACATCACTACCGCCATTCCCGAGCCGCCTACCATGCCGTCTTCCGCCACCTCTCGCGTGCCCACCTCGCCTCCGTCGTCATCGACTGGCTCCGCCTCTTCTCCTCCTCCTCGCCTGACATCCATCGTCACCCGTTCCTTCCCGTCGGAGGAGCGACTGCCGGTCCCCACCCACGCTTTCATGAGACCCTCGTCGTTGGGTATGCCGTCGCGGGGAAGCCCGAACTGGCCCTCCAGCTATTCGCACGGATGCGGTTCCAGGGCCTCGACCTTGACTCGTTCTCGTACCACGTCCTCGTCAATTCCCTTGTTGAGGCCTCCAACTTTGACTTTGCTGAAACCGTTTTCTGCCAGATCTCCGACCGGGGCCTTGCTGGCCCCGTCACCGCCTGCATCCGTCTTAAGAGCCTCTGCCGCCAGGGACGGCTTCAGGACGCTGAGGCTTATCTCCGAGAGCTCGCTGCCTCTCCTACAGCTGACTGCCGCACCGTTGCTGGACGCATGGTGGGCACCCTCGCCCATGCCTTTTGCCAGAAAGGACAGTTTGAGGCTGCAAGACGGATTGTTGATGAGTTTGGCTCCACTGAGGCATATGGCGTTTGGGTAGGCAACCTTGTACGTGCCGGGAAGCTCGATGCAGCATTGGAGTTCTTGTTGCGCAAGAAGGCATCGGAAGACTACATTCCTGAGAGCTTCCATTACGGAAAGCTCATCTTCCGACTTCTGAAGGAGAATCGTCTTGAGGACGTCTATAATGTGCTTGTAGAAATGATGGAAGAGGGGATCTCTCCTGACCACATAACAATGAACGCAGCTCTCTGTTTCTTCTGCAAGTCTGGAATGGTGGATGTCGCTTTGTTCTTGTATAATTCTAGAAGGGAGCTTGGCATCAACCCAAGTTTGCAGGTCTATGACCAGCTGATTAATGCCCTGTGCCGTGAGGGTAATGTGGATGATGTCTGCTTGATTTTGGAGGAGTCCATGCAACAGGGCTTCTTTCCTAGGAAGCAAACATTTAACATTCTTTCTAACTTCCTATGCCGGGAGGGAAGGCTTGATAAGATGCGGAAGCTGCTTGATGGTGCTCTTCAGAGGGAAGAAAAGCCACTACCTGTTGTTTTTGCTAGGTACATCTCAGCACTGTGCAAGGCTGGAGAATTAGAAGAGGCTTGCCTGGTGCCCCATATAGTTAGTGGAGACATTGCCAGTTTGTTGGGACGGTACAAGTCCACATACGTAAACTTAATTTGTGCATTTATATTGTTGCGGCAGGTAGATGTGCTTCCTCGGCTGATTATTGAGATGCAAAAGCTTGGTCACATTCCAAGTCGGAGCCTTTACAGGTCCCTCATTTGCTCTCTGTGTGAGATGGGCAAGTTTGATGAGGTTTTTCACCTACTGAACGAGCAACTGGAGCGTCATGAATTAGACAAAAAGACATGCTACAATTACTTCATGGATGGGGCAGCACATTCCAAAAGGCCTGAAGTGGCAAGGGAAGTGTACAATAGGATGCAGACTGCAGGATTGGAACCCACTGTTGATAATAATATCCTAATTCTTAAGAGCTATCTGAAGAGTAAACAGATAGGTGATGCTCTTAACTTCTTCCGCTATCTGTGTGAGAAGCAGGAGCCCAAAACCAAGCTGTACAATGTATTTATAACTGGTCTTTGTGAAGCTGGGAAACCAGAGCAAGCTGTGGTGTTCTGGAAGGAGGCAAGGGAGAAGGGGTTTATCCCAAGTCTTCAGTGTTACGAGGATCTTGTACTTGAATTATCTTCTAACAAGGATTACGATATTGTGGTTAAGGTTATTGAGGATTTCAAGCAAACTGGCCGTCCAGTTTCTGCATTTTTGTGTAATGTGCTGCTGTTGCACACTTTGAAGAGTCAGGACCTCCTACGCGCCTGGGCTCAAACAAGAGAGAAGTCCAATGCAGTAGCTGTGAGTGGGGAAACTCAAGTATCTGAAGGATCTATGCTAGGCCATCTTATCGCTGGTTTTTCAGGCGGAATAAGAATGAAAGATGGTGTTGATAAGTTGGACGAATTGATTGAGAGATTCTTTCCAGTTGATATTTATACATACAATATGTTGTTGCGAGGCATGAGCATGGCAGGGAGGATGGATTATGCATGTGATTTGTTTCATAGGATACCTAAGAAAGGTTTCAAGCCAAATCGGTGGACTTTCGACATTATAGTCCATGGTTTTTGCAAACAAGGTAAAAGAAAGGAGGCTGAAAGATGGATGGAGGCAATGCATCAGAACGGGTTTCACCCGAATTGGTACACAATGAGGATATATAACAACACCTCCTAGTTAAGTGAATATGGCTCAGTAGATGATATGCAAACTTTGTGTTGCTTACAACTCATTGCTGGTTCGTCATCATCCTTGTTACTTAACTGAAGCAGGTAAGTTCAACAAAATATCATACTTTCGTGTTCTTTGGTATTTTGATCTTTTAGTCACCATAACTATATAATTATTGTTTTTTCTAGCATTTGATATTGGTTTAGTTATTTGTTTTTTTTTTTACTCGATGAGCAGTTCCATATGAAATTTAATTCACAATAACTGAATAAAGGATTAGTACTTGTAGCGAAAGTTGAATCTTGATGATTGAGTTTTTTGCATATCAGATTGGTGTACTTTACCTCTAAAATCAGCTGTGTTTGACAATTATTTATATACTGAACTAACACGTAATTAAGAGTAAATAAATAGTTCGTTTTACAAGTATAGACATATATATCAAAGTATCTCTGGGGTAGGCATGTGACATCAAGCTACCTTAAATGTGGCTTTAACTATTAATGCAAAAGATATTTCCTCTTGGCTGCCTTTAACCAAGTCCTTTACTTCTTTTGTCGCTATCAGTCAATTATCTTCGTCTTTATTTTAGTTCTTGGTTAAACAATTGAAGAGCTCTTAGTGCCTTTGAAATTTGTATTGTTAGTTTATGACACCGAGAACCATAATATCATTATTTTGGCATAGCCTGTAGCTAATGAGGAAGCTTTTTTTGTAAGGTAATTGAATTCTTAAGCTAATTGCAAAAATAAATAGTTTTTTTAACATCTAATCTAATTAAACTTCTTGGAAAACGGTTCAGACTGTAGTGATTCTTCCTACAAAACTTCTTTCGCCACTGAAAACCGAATGAACCTGGCCGAACTACGAAATTACCTAGTTACCAAATGAAGAACGCCAATATGTTATAGGAATCCCCATGGCTGCTAGTGACATCAGAATGGTGTCAACTGGGAAAACAGTTCAAACATTGAATTATGTGGAAATAAGACTTTTAAGTTGTATGTCTTTGGGAATATAGGAAAAACAAGTGCTGCACTGACACCCTCTAATTTAAGGGAAATTAAGAGAGAGAGGAAGTATATTCTCCATTTCCCTTCAAATTATAATGGGCATATTGAAATGCAGCAAATGGAAGCACATGTCAGAATTTCACCACTGTCAACTCACATTCACTGCAGAGATAGTTGAATTTCCTCAAAGTGGTTCAATTGTGCTTGCATCTTTCTAATAGATAGTAGTTGATACCAAACTACAGTTGCTGTGGAAATCTGCATAGATATGGAATATAGCAGAATGAATGTTTCAAAACAGACCTTTAAGTGGGATGCAAATTGTTAGGTTATGTTCAGTTCTAAGGAAAAAATTGAACTTAGAACTTGTTCGATTTGCAGGTTATGCAGCCAAATCATAGTATTCAAAGTTCAACACAGAAATGTTTTATTTGGTTAATTTTTAATTCAGTTTCCAAAGCGGACCAACCAATCTGTGATCCGCCCAAAGCTGAAAACTCTGGATAGTTGAACCCCAAACCTAACTATTGGTCATGGGATTAATCAGGTTAGGTGGCATCTGAATGTGCATGGAACATCTGCATAAATACGGAATATACCAGAAACAATGATTGAAAACAGACCTTGTAGTGGGGTGCACATGATTAGCTTAGGTTCACCTCTTAGGAAACTTTTGAACATAGAACTTGTTTGATTTGCAGGTTCTCAAGCTGAACTGAACTATAGCAATGATCAAACATTTGTATGTTCTCTTTAAATATCAAAACACAACCAATTTTGTATGCAATATTGATGAGAATGAGATTCATTATGGCTACATATGTTTACATATGGTGTATTGTTTTTATATTACTAGATTTGGTTTAGTTGGGACAGTTCTCTACAGACCAAACTGAATGGAATTGAAACTTTGTTTTGTTTTGTTTTTTTTTTCCCATTTTTCATACCATAATTAACTGCACCAGTTCAATCTGGTACAGACTCTTGGATAGTTCATTTGTACACCCTTACCCTCAAAGATGATTTGCAAACACCACTATGTAGTTTTGGTGGCCTTAAATATTTTATAAAACTACTGTTAGAAGGTATCTGTTGAGTTTTAAGTTTGAGTACCTCAGTGGTGAGTCTGGGCAGTGTGTTTGACATTGGGATTATAATAATTAATGAAGCTGTTCTGAAAAGGCCTAAATCCTTTACAAGTCAACGCATAGTGACAGTATCACACACTATCTTGTAGAGTTGTTGTTCAGGAGCATAATATCCTTACTTTGTGAGCACAATGTGCTTGTTGCTAGCCTATCTTGCCGACATTACCCTAAGACTTTCCAAATTGACAAAAGCTGTCCTTGTCTTCCTTTTTCCCATCTTTCTCTTTTCATTTTGTTTGTCTGGAAGATGGAGCTTGATATTTGAATCATAGAGGTAGAAGCTTAGTTTTTTTATGTCAAGAAAACTTCCAATTACTTATACTGCCAAGGGTGTATGACATTTCCATGATGTTATCCAGTGTGTGTGTTTGATTTTTCGGTGGTACATGAAGCAGCAGATCACATTGTTCGACGAAGGAATGATTACTTGGGTTACACTAAGAATTCACCTCGTCATCATTAATAGTTATTACACTATGCATTTAGTTTCTTACAGATGGATGAGCTAACACCATTTGTTTTTGGTTCGCTTGGTTGGATGGGTGCAGGTTTGCAGAAGCAGATGCCCAACTCAGGCTGGCTGTCGCTGTAAACCTGAGTGTTGTATCGATTGCCATAATAATACACCGATACGTAGCAGAGATGCCTCAAGTTGGGCATGCCGTTCATTTGCCAGATTTTTCGCTACACCAAACTACGCACTTTGAGCATCAGAATTAGCATCCTGATTGTCTATTTGGTTCATTCATCTGTGTACAAATAATCTAAACATTCTTGTAATAATTCAGCAACCCCATCAACGCTCTCATCAGCAGCAAAGGATTTGGGCAGGTCAAATTGTAACGAGAGCCGAGTACTAATGACGTCACTAATTGCTTAAGAGGGTTACATGGCCAGCATGAATGTTAGTGCACCCCATTCATTCACTGTGAACAGCTTATTCCATTGAATTACTGTAACCCACTGCTCAAGCTCTCAATCAAAGAATAAATTGATCGCCATCATCAAATGATAGGTAATTAGACGTTGCAGTTCTCATCCTCATCCTCGTCGCTGTCTTCTAACTTGGTGCTCGTGTACCATATTGCGCAGGTCACGAACACCGCGAAGTCGGCGGCGGTGAGGCTCGCCAGGAGAAAGTAGAACCTGTCCATATGCCCTCTGTTGAGGTTGGCCGGAATCCACCCGGCTCGGTCGCCCTTCCCCGTGATCTCCATCACTGCCGTCACCAGTAGGCTGCTTACGTAGTTCCCCAGCGAGATGGAAGTCATGCAGAGCGCGCTGCCGAAGCTCTTCAGCCCGTGCGGCGCTTGGCCGTTGAAGAACTCCAGCTGACCCACGTACATGAACACCTCCGAGGCTCCTATCAGCGCGTACTGAGGGATCTGCCACAGGATGCTCAGCGAGCTGTCGTCGTCGCAGCCTCTGCAGACGCTCCTCAGTCGCTGCACTTCCACGGTTCCCGCCGACGCCATCGCCATGATCGCCAGGATGAGCCCCGCCCCCATCCTCTGCAGCTCGGTCAGCCCCCTCGCGTCCTTTCTCAGCCGGGAGACCAGGGGGTTGAGGAACCTTCGGTAGAACAAGATGAAGGCCGCCACGCTGACGATGTCGAAGGCCGACATGCTCGCGGGGGGAATACGGAAGCCGGCTACCGTGCCGTCCATGGCTGCGCCCTGCTCCACGAATAGGGAGGCCATCTGCGTGAAGACGACGGAGTAGAGGATGGTCGTCAGCCATATGGGGATTAGCCGGAGCACGCATTTCAGCTCCTCCACTTGTGTGATGGGGCAGAGGCGCCATGGGTCGCGGGAGCAGCCGGACTTGCCTTGTTGGATCGTGAAGTCATTCTCCGGATCGATGACCGCAGCTCGATCCAAGAACCTACGGCAGCAGATCACCTCAAGCTGGGCCGAATGCATGCAAGCCGAGAACGTGAAGGATTCGGTTTCCGGAACCTACCTGAAACCTTCAGTGTGAAGTATCCTTCTGCTCCCATGAGCGGCTGAGACCTGCTTCTCCTCCGCCTCGTACAAGTCATCGCCACCATTTGTTGGCATCTTCATCCTCCACTTCCTCGATGCGGCGACGACGACCTGACACACCCTGGAGAGGGGGTTGCCGATGGGCTTGAAGTGCCTGTACCTGGAAGTCCCGCAGAGGAAGAGGAGCAGGGCGACCACGGCAGAGCCAGCCGAGACCCAGAACCCCAGTGCCCACATGCCCTTGTCCTCGAAGTAGTTCAAGAAGGTGTTGGAGAAGAGGGACCCCAGGTTGAGGGCCAGGTAGAAGTAGCTGAAGAAGGAGACTTTGGAGTGGGACTCATCAGGGTCCTTCGCATCGAACTGGTCTGCCCCAAAGGTGGCTATGTTCGGCTGGTACCCTCCATTTCCCAGGGCAATGAGGTAGATCGAGAGGTAGAACACCCCAGTGTCCATGCTCGAGTGAGGGCCACAGATGAAGTGCTCCTCGCCACATCCCGAGGGCTTCAGCAGAAACAGGTAGGTGGATAGAGAGAGCAGCACCAAGCCCTGTTGACCCAGAGAAACAAAACCGTTAGCAATGGTGGTAGCTCGTCTTCACAAGCTTTCAGATGGATCTTACGAATACAAAGATGACTTGGAAGATGGCGCATGTCTTGTATCTTCCCCAGTAGGAGTCACTGAGGAAGGCGCCAAGGAGGGAGAAGATGTACACAGTGCCTGTCCACTTGCTGACATTGTTTGCTGCATCAGCGTTGTTCTGCTGCAGGACTCTCGTCAGGAACAAGACCAAGTTCACGCCAACCCCGAAGAATGCCAACGTCGCTAATCCTTGGTTCACTGCATCGAGGTTGCAGAGGTATGTATCAGCTCACATGTCAAATGGCAGACAAGACCGTACAACACAGCTTTACTGAACTGATGCTGCTATGTTATCTTGATCGACATGCTTAGCTTACTGATGAATCACACATGTGCACACCATCCAAGCATGAGTTTAGGCATGCATGCTCTGACTACCTTTTTCTTTTCTGAAAATAAAAAAGTGATGAAGTTGCCACCGTGATCTATTTGCATCAGCTGAACAAAAAGTTTAGGACAAGATGTCTTTTCCGGCTCAGAATTCACACACCCACATGTGGTGCTGTTCAGATTCCAGAGGCAAATTCCAAAATCCTTGTGGGGGGTTGATGCAAGATGCAGTTGCAGATTGTGACAATGGCAGTGACCCCCCACTCTGATGTGATGTTGATCCTTCCAGTTTGCCAAGTCGACAAGTAAAGCTCAAGCTCAGGATCCTAGAGAAAGAATCTACCACACGCAAGCCTACAAGAGAGGTCTTCTTACATCTGTCTGCCTGTTTGGTGAAAGAAGCCGGTAAAATAGACAGCTACAAACACCTGATAAGCAGCAGTGCCTGGCAGGAGTGTGCATCTACATCTAAAGAGACCCACTCAACGATCAGGTGATCTTTACTGGATATTTCTTGTGCTTATAACATCAAAATAGCCAACATCTGCTTTTGATTTTGATCTTGAGATCACCAACAAAGCATCATTAGTGGCAGCATAAATATCTTTGCGCACATACTTGGAATTCTCTCCTCTTTTTTTTTTCTTTTCTTTTCTGTGATCTATTAGAACAAGTCTTGATACAATGAGAAGGTTGTTTCTTGGTGACATGAATGGTCAGAACTCGAAAAGGGAACCAAAATAAAAACCAAAGTGTGAATTAAATGAAGATTTGCTCTCGTACTGTTTTCTACTTGCCAGTTACTGTTTTCTTGTTCTGTTTGACTTATAATTAGTGACTGACTGTTGATGTTCAGCTTCAGCGAGATCCAAAAACAAGTAGAAGAAAAAAAAAAAAAAACTTGTGTCAAGAAACTCTTAGAAAGCATGAGGTAATCAATCGTTAACTTTGATCAAAGACTATTGCACCTGATTGTCATAACTTAAATCAAATTATGTCTGGTAATGGTTTCTAAAGAATCAGAGGCACAACATAGGCTGCCAAGATTTTGAGACAATGTAAATAAAGTTGGTTCAGAATGGCTTGACTTTTCTTTATGTGTCATTCTTGTGTTACTACCCAATTTATTATGGAAAAATAATAATTCTCACCATGTTTTTTGCTGTTGTATAGAAAATAGGATAATAAAGGGCTTTTTCCACAACCTGGATATGAGAGGGTCCAATTCAAGAAAACTGATGCCTTTGTTTCTTTATTGTGTATATGTGTGGGTGGATCCAAAGGTGGAAAAGCACCAAATCAGCAGAGCTTGCTCTTATCATCTCTTCAATCAAAATGATCAAAAGGATTTGAAGGTTGTCAGCTGATGATTGAAACAAACACTATGGCCAGTAAAATCTCATTGTGCATAACAAAAAAATATTGAGTACCTAGCACAAGAACTCCACCCACCCACCCTCCAGTCTTGCCTTTGGCTGCTGGCCTACCTCTGATGTCCACTGATCCATCAAGTGTGTACTCATATTGCTCATCTTTCCCTTCATTCATCTCTTTGTTAAACGATGCACTTCTAGTCTTCATGTCACCATTCTCTGCTACTCTCTTCTCTTTTTCCTGCAGCACCAATTTTACTTTGTTAAGTCTGACCATCCTAAGCTTATCCACTGCCTTCTATCACCAGGAACTCAGGAAAGTGGAAAGAGTTAGTAAGGAAGCGGAAGAGATACTGACCACACTGGATTTCTCATAGCTGGCCATTGAATCCCCACAGTGGGAAGATCAGAATGACAAGATGTAAACAAGAGTAGAATGCAAGAGAGAGAGAGAGAGAGAGAGAGAGAGAGAGAGAGAGAGGAGGGGTTTGGATGGAGAAAATGGTGCTTTGTATTTATAGAGGTGAGGAGAATGGATCAATGGTTGAGATTAGAGAGGATAAAGATGATGATGTGATGTTATTTGCCCACATGGCCTTATTCAATGCCAAGAAAATGACAATCCAAATGACTGAAAGGGACAGAGAGGTTATTTAGTTGGATTTGGATACTTGCATTAATGTAGTAGAGATACATTTTCAGGAGCACATTAATAACCTTTTGAGTTTGAAGGATATGCTTTTGAAATTAGTTGAGAGTTACAGGAGTTTTAGCCCCAACAAATACCCAAGAAAAAAAAAAAAGTGTTTTATGTTTACTGAACACAATTACTGGTTCTCTTTTGCACACTCCACTAGCTTGTGAAACCAGTACAGTAAACTCCTATGATGCCTTGTCAGCAGTTGCTGCTACACTCAAATTTTAATGGTTCAGAGTACTGTCATTTGAATAATGGCTTGTAGAGAGTAGGTATCTGATAACTTGTAATATACAGAGTTGGTA